TGAATTTAGTCGGTGGGTATCAATATTATCTTTAAAAAATGTATTGTGATACCTGAAGGGGTTGCTGTTAGTTATTCTATTTCGTTGTCAAAGGAATAACTTGTGATTGAAACAGATATACAATTGTTGACTAAAAATAAGAGTTAGTCGAGCGCAGTTAGTTATTAGACTTGTGCACTCTTGCTACATAGAGTAGCAAGAAGCATACATTGTAATTTATATCTTGACAGTTAAAGAAATTGTTTGGTATAGATACATTGAGCATCTAATGATACTAGTTGAGAATATGAGATCTATGATAGTTACGCAATTATCTTATATGTTAAGATCTCAAGTATCAAGATGGAACCAAACACTTGATGGTATTTTTGTGAAAGACATTAACTAAGAAAACGTCTTTGCGATATATCCACGTAAATGATGATATGTAATCATCATACTCTCAAAATGTCTAGAGATATATTTGTTGGTAATATAGAATCTCTAGAATTTCGTAGAATATGATACTTAGTGTATCAGAAAACTCTTGATTGAGTTTTGTATGCCCATGGATGAACAATTTTGAGTTCAAGTGTAATCTAATATTGGGTACGACATAAATGATTTGTATGCGCATATAAAGTATGTCGAATAGGTTGAGATTAGCTCACTCACATGAACAATCGCCTCAGACATTTTGAGATGTGCTGAGATGAGAGAAAAATGTGTACATAATCTTGTCGTCTTGATAGTGATCATGTTGTGTACATGATCTAGTTGCCTTGATAAGGTATCAAGATGAGATTACAATAAGTAATCGAAATGGATTTTGCTATCCGTGAAACTCATTTAGTAGCCAGAGTTTTCAATTTGAGAATGTCGGGAGGAATGAATATAAGGATAACTTAAGTTAGGTATCGAGAAATGTCTGAACTAGGATCTGTATGGTGTTATTTGTTTAAAAAGAATATGCTATACGCCTTAAGAAAGAGAGAAAACATCGTAGCACGTGTTTTATACCACGTATGCTTTTACGACCAATATTGGGTAAATGAGTGAATGGATCATTGCTTCCTCATTGTGTAAGACCCTGAGGTTTATGTAACCTCATATATACCCTTATGACTTTTGACTGTTTCTTGAGGTTTTATTTTAGTGTTGCTATTTTAACATGTTGCCAATGACTATGATTGATTCGGTTTGATGGGGTCTGTCTAGGAAAGCAACTGTTTTAAAATTGAAGGATTCAAGTACGAAAAGAAAACTATTTTTACCAACATTTATGTTTGTATTTATCGGTCGGACAATTGTGTTTAACCATTTAGGGTATGTAACACAATTGTGAATACAATGATACGATATTGGATTCAAGTACGTTTCATAAATACTCGAGGGATCGAAAATACTTGAATTAATGTTGAAAAATGAGTTTAGGGTATAATGAGATGTGACGTTCCTCTAACAGCGCTACTATATATCCCTAACAAGTTTATAGTACCTTGAGTTTTAATATTACTCGCTGGTTACACGATCTATTTGCCGTATGAATTTTTGTGAGATAGATCTTGAGAAAGATCTAGTGTGTGACATCGTTGTCACTTGTGGTTCGGATCAACCCCACCATGTGAGAGTGGGAGATGTTGAAAAATACGGATAATTTGTCCGCCATGTGGAGTGACCCGTCTCGCAAGATTTCAAAAGAGTTGGAGGGAGTGGTTTGAATTTGGAATTCAAATCTATAACTCCCAAATAACTCCTTGCAACCTCCATATAGAAGTTATGGAAAAGATGACAAAGAGAAGGCATAAAAAAAATTGTGAAAATTCGTATTGAAATTTACACCAAAATTAGAAAGTCCTTAGAACCATATTTTTGGCATAAAAAAAAAAAAAAATGGCACTTAGATTGTGATAAAACCCCCTTCCATTGTGATTGGGACTTGGATCATTGGAGAATAAGAAAATGCAGATTTTGGAGCTTTGGAATGCAAGATGATTCAACCACACAAAAAGATATTGGAATTCATCATTTCAAGTAAGTTTCTCAACCCGAAATTCCTGTCAAAGTATGCTGCGAATTCCTACAAATGTAAAATAGG